AAAGAAACAGAGGTTTGCTATAGAATAAAAGAAATTTAAGAGGCATACTATCAAATACAGTAGGATCTTGAATCAAAACCTATTATTAATAGATATCATGACGACAATTAGGGACATTTTAATATGGACTTGGTAATAAATGATAAGAAGAAATAACTATTTAATCCTATTAGCTGTGATAATAGCTTCTTAGTAATGCAAGAAAAAAAAACCCAAACAAATAACAAACAAACAAACAAATGCAAGTTCTTGTGAAAGATCTATACTGAGATATTTATCGGTAAAATGTCTTCTTATTTAGGATTTGCTTTAAAATACCTCAGGTTACAAAAAAAAAAAAAAAATGGGGGAAACACAAACGAATGGCAAAATATTGATAATTGTTCAGTTTAGGTGATGGGTACACTGGGGTTCATTATCCTCTTCTCTCTAGTTTTGTGTAATGCATGTGGTTAGTGATAAAAAAGAAGCCAGTAGTAAGAAGTGAGAGATAGTGGGAAAAGCAGATGAGGATCAATCTTCATTTTAAGCAACAGAGTAGAGGCAGTTAACATAGTAAGTACAAACTTAAGTATGACCTAACGTACATGTGAGGTTCATACAAACTGAGAAAGGGAATGTTGTTAAAGACTGCCTAGAGTTTAGAACTGGAACAGACAGAGGAGAAGGCGAAGGGTCGGAGTAGGTGACGACGGGTAGGTAAAGGGAGCGATGGCACTCCAAATGCCCATAAGCGCACTCGCTACCTGGACTATTGTTTGGGAACTAGCGTACTAAAGAACTGTTTCTGTCTGAATGATTTCTCTTTGATCTTCCAACCGGTATGTGAGCATACCAGCGTTCCACGCAAAGCATCCCACTGCGGCTAACACTGTGACCTCCTTCTCATGGACATTACACCCAAGGTTATATCTGGACATGGTTTATTTATAAAACCTTCTCTTAAAAAAGACTAATTGCTGCAATTTAAGAGACCTAAAATGTCTTTAACCCCACTTTGTAAATATGAAAACAGAAAAAAAAAAATCTCTGGTTTCTTTGTGTTATCCCTAGGAAGTACAGAGAAGGCAATCCGATGAAGACCTGCCTTGTCACATTCAATAGAGCAACTGCAGAAGCAATTTGTTACAAGCAGATGGATAGCTGAACACTAAAAAGGATAATAAACTAGAACGAAATTAGATATTGAAATCAATTTCTTTTAGGCTTACCATGAAACTTCAGATTTACACAATTGTATTTGAAGAAGTCAGAAAAAAAAAAAAATGCCATACTAAGATGGGTGCCCATGAAAACAGAACTTTACACATGCTATAGCCTTTATAGTCACCATTTACTTGGTTGGTTCAAATATTTATAGTTCATTGTTATGACTGCCAAAACTGGCAACCACAAGGATTGTTGTCTCAATTAGGACAGTAAACAGATTGTCTCTTTTTTTAATGAAAAAATCTAAAATGTAATACTTCACAGTTTAACATGTTTATTCATCTAAACGAGCTAAAAAATAATGGTGCGACATCTGTTCGAGAGGCACTGGTACCTCAAATTTTGGCTGCCTCCCCACCAATTTGGTTGTTGTTTTAAAAAATGAAGAATAGGAGGGGGTACTGTCATCAAAAAATCTTCTGGCATGTAAAGTATCTTATTTTTCTTGAAATAAGGATCTCATGTCTGTTGCTAGGGATAAAAAAAAATTATTTAAGAATGAGGCACTATGTTGAATAGGGCAGCAGTTCAATTGTTTTAGATGAATTTACTGGCCCGCTATGGATATTTCCACACTGGTATAGTTCTTTGAGTGACTCTCCCCGCTCCCTCCATACTCACCTGCATACCTAAAATACAAAATAAAATAGTAAAAATGTTTCTGTTGGCACTGAATTCATCTGCTAGGCTTTTTTTTTTTTTTTTACTGTGGGTTGTACTGATTGTAGGTCTGATGTCAGTGGAACAAAATCTAGCAAACATCATTCTATCTAGGCTGCATTGGAGCAGTTCTAATAAAAGAAGGCAGTGCTGCTAAGGGAGAAGTGTTAGGAACCTCCCCAGAGAAGTCCAAGGTAAGTGTGCTTATCTCTGGCTCAACAACCTTACATTATGGATGAAATACGTGAAAAGGCTGGAAGTTTAATTTCTAGAAGTTTTATTTCTGAAACCCGCCTAAATAAAGCATAATTTACTCTACTGAATTATCACTGACTGTATCATTCTAGAATCTGGAAAATCTAGTGCTTTAGTGTTCACATAAATTTAAGCATTATAATGAAAATTTAGTTTTATTTTTGTTGGGAGTGAGGATGTATACTAAGTTAAATTAAAAACACTGCGTGTGTTTCTCAACAATAGTGATAAAAATAACATATTCGGTTTCCTAGAAAAGAGCAATGTTTCCGTTCTAGAGCAAATTTAACGCTAGTTGTCTTGATCTTAAAATGAACAGGCTGAAACATGTACTTGTCCTAGTACATCCAATGACCATAAATGCTAAATGCGGAGTTAACCAATATAGTGATTTCTAAGTTTTATTTATTGTGCAAATAATTTTTGATCATCTATTACATGCAGCACTGTACCAGACTCTGAGAGGACTAAAAGAAATTAGCTTAAATTTTAACATGCATTTATTAAATATGTGCAGATCACTATGCTACTGGAGTTACAGAAATGGAAAAGAACATATTTTCAGGATCTTGCAATCACTGGTTGGGGTGGAAGTATTCCTGAAAAATTAAAAAGACTGAAAATCTTCAAGTATTTGCCAACTTAAAACAAACTCCGTATCGGTCCTATGATATGCTTTTTGTTCATTTGTTTTAAAAGAAATCCTAGATGAGGTTATCTTTTCACAGTATCTCCTCTCAGGTGAATTTATATGTGCTTTATTTTGCAAAATAAGAACCAGCACCTCTTTGAACTTCATTCACAGTATCCCTGAGGCTGGATGTGAAGTCTACGGCATTAGCTGAAATTTATCCTGCAGACCCTGTTAACAAATAGATTCTAACTTCAATTTTTCTGTTCTTGTCTTTTGAATTCCTCTGAGCAGCGCATTACTGGAGGAGAAAAACCCATGCCTGAAATTTGTGTCTGGTGCCAGTCTCAGATTTATGCCAAACACCGCTCACTGTTCAGAAGTGTGGTCCCCTGAAAATGCAGGCCGAATATCACCTCCCTGTCTTCAGAGATTCAAACCAGATTTCAACCTGGGATTTCTCTGCAGGCTGCTTCCCAGACAATACGAATATGAAAAATGTGCATTTCATGAAAACAGTGTTGTATTGTTGTCTCTGTTTACCTGCTATTTATTAAAGTCAGTGTTGCGCCTTTGGGACTTGTGGTTCTCTGGAGCCGTCGTAAGGTCAGTTATACAAATGGACTAGCCAGAGACTCAGGGTATCGATGAAACGAGGTAATGAAACCTGCCTGTAATTATACTATGTATAAACTAATATTTATTACTATCAGAAACAACTTTTTCCCCTCAAAAGAACACCTCAAGAACAGAAGGGGACAGTAACATTTTTTTTTTCCACAGTAGTGAATTTTCAGACATTTCCAAGAGTATATTCACCTATTTTAAATACTGTGAATTCTGTTATATCTCACTTGGATACGTATCTAATAAACAAATTATTATATATCTTCTCATTTAAACTACTACTGAAATTAGAAATAATCTTTATTTGATATGACTGTTTTTAACACCATATGGGAGGTAAAAGAACTAAGTGAAAATTGTTCACGTAAATGTGATAGGAGTGAGGGAAAAGCAGTATTTCTTGACATGTGGCGTGTCACTCAGGAAAGGAAAAGGCCCATCATATCCAAAATGCCAGCTTGGATATTCCCTTGCCACCCACTTCACGAACAGACATACCACATGGCATTAAATGCTGCAACCTTTCCTAAAAATGCCACTTGGATTGGTCTGCTGTGGTGAGTGTATAAGAACTCTTGGTCTGTCTCATGAGTTTGTGATTTCAAGGAGAAGAATCCAGTAAATAACACTGGCTAAATTTTGCCCTCAGATGTTTGGCATAAATGATCTGTGAGGATCCTGGAACTTTTGGCTGTTTTCACGTTGATGAAATAAATTATGCTACTTGAAAAAATTCTACAGAACATAATGCTATACAGTCATCGTCAACTATCTGCAAAAGTCTCAAAGAAGATCTAGGGAATTTATCAACGGCTTTCTTCTCTTGGCAAATATGAAAACAACCTTAACATTTTATTTGCTCTTCATAAATACAATGGATATGATATAAAACCCTTTGTGCACATGTTTCAAACTATTAATTTTCTATGCTTCTTTCTGTAAGGTAGTAGTAGCTAACAAATGTGCTGTGGACACATATTTTCCCATTTTCAAAGCTTTATGTATTCGTGTGTTCTAAAGTTATTTTAAAAACTCCATTACCAGTAAAAATATTGAATACATTGATTATTATACTCCAACAAATGCAAAATATCTTGAAAATTTATATAAACAAAAAATTACCTATGTGAGTAGTGAGGCATACATTTTCTTTCATTATTTATTTTTCACAAAACAGTTGTGATTGACTAACTCTCAAGAGACAAAATGTAATTTTGTAAACCCACTTCGTATAGTTCAGATTGAAGAGGCAACCCAACAAGATTATTCTGAGTAGGTAGGACTTCGTTACTGTTATGTGGAAAAAAAAAAAAAAACTGCACAATTAAATGACAGATTGTTACATATCTCCCTAACAAGAGGGGCAAACTGATACTGCAAGCAGTCAGAACAACATAATTAAAATAGAATTCCAAGTTTATATTAATAGAATAATAAGTTAATTAAAATCAAGATCAACTGAACTTTGTATTTACACCAGTTCAGACAGCCCAGGAGGAAAGGAACTCTATTTTAGAGACATATGTGACTCTTTGAGCTTCTGTCATCCAGGTGCCATTTCTGATGGAGCACATGTGCACTGAACAGTTGGCAAAGAAGGAAAAAGATTACTGTAGATGTATGTGCAGATAGTTCCTCTAATGATATAAAATATGTCTGGAAAGAAAGCAGGGCTTCTTTGTAAAATGAAAAATTCCCCATGACTTTTTATTCCTTCTTAGGCTCTGAATCTGATTTGAGAATGTTTCTGTAAATGAGGATATATACTTTTACTTATGATGTATATGGAACAAAAATAGATTCAGTAATCTGTAAGCGATGAAGTTATACACATAAATTGGCTAAGACATCCGAAGAATTTGGGATCTGTTTTCCATTTTATCTAAACGCACCATGAATAGGTTGCCTGTCAAAGTACAAAGATTTTTATAAAAGTACCCGGGAGCATACATTATACTACATTGCTAGGTAAGGTTCTTTTCTTGATATCCTATGCAACTATTTAAAAAGATATTTCTGAAAACTAAAAATACCAGCAGAAAGAATCCAAGATGTTCCAGTTTCAGTACTTTAGAAAGTATTGGTCCCAAGGGGTGCTTTTATGAAATTATTTCCCTTTAATGCATTGATTGCTGTTCAGCTAATCTTCATCTGGTTTCAGATCAGGGTCAACATCTGTGGACAGTCTGAGATAAAAGAAAGCATAGAAAGCCAGTAGGAGGGCCAATATAGCTGCAAGTACGAGGCCAACTTCCTGAGGAGGAAAAAAGAAAAAAAAAAAAAAAAGGGTTGAAATTGATGAAGAGATTGGTTAATGTTATGAGTTTCATCAGATAAAATCACCATATAATTCCATCATCTAGAATAATAGTTTGAACCTAATAATCACATTCTTTGTGATTATCACTTCTTGTCATGAAGTAAAGTAACTTATTTTGTACCTGACAACACGCACTGCACTGACAAGTACATCAGTGGGTGACTCATTCCTACTATTATTTCCATTTAATTTGTTTGTGCTTTTCTCATAGCAAAATTAAAATTTGTAATTTTAATATTTGCATAGTTTGGATATGAAGACGCCAGTGCAAGCAGTGTGGTTCATGCTCACAGTTTGCCTGTTCTCTAGTGGAGTAGGCCTAATTTTATTTACTGCTTCAATACATTTGTTATTAGTTATAGCTTTTGGACACAGATTTTTAAAACATCTATCTTTCTTTTTCTAATGGGAAGAAACTCCTATTACAACCAGTTTCTAACTAATGTCTCTGCAAAACTTTATTAAATATTATTTTGTTGAAACTCTAATTTTTAAACTCTAAATCCTATAGTTTATAATGTGGGGAAACAAAACAGTACTTTTAGCTCATGGAGGATGACACGGGGTAATTTATCAGAACTGTGAAGGGTGATTCTGAATATTTCATCTGGTGATTTGGTGTGGGTCATATTAGTTAATTAAAATGGAGGTCGAAAATTTACTGTATGTATTATGGCAAAAATCCCATTATCTCTTAAAAAGTCTATAAACTTCATGTATAATGAAATATATGGTATGTACTATGTTGTATACACACACACACCATTAAGAAATGTTCTCAATATTAACATATCATTTAGCTAAAAAGAGAAAAAAGAGCAACTAATGCCAGTTTCATACCCTAAAGAGCCTAATATGCCTTTCTAATTTTCAATTGTGTATCACACCCATTCCTGGCATTGTTTTATGGAGAAGCAGTTTATTTGCATTTACATGAATATATTTTACATTTCATCAGAATGTACAATTAATAATTCAACATACGCCCCCTAATAAACTTTAAAAACATTAAAATGAATTTGATTTAGAATAAACACGAAATTTTTACCTGGATGTTGAAATTACAAATGGGTGCTTTATACAGATATTTAGCTTCAAAGTTACGTTGATTTAGATTTCCAAACTATGAAAATAAGCAATTGATGAGAATCATGGAGTTGACAGAGTCAGTGTCAACTGTTTTTGTAAGATTTGATTTTTTTAAACCTGATACATCAATATAATGTCAAATGAAAGTGAGTTTTTCTTTGTTGCAGTTGGAACACTGGCATCTCGAAAGGGCATGGCGGCATCAGACAGGTTTCATTTATATTCTTATACCCACAGCTGTGCTCCCAGACCCATCTGGTTACACAGCTACTAATTTTAAGAGGCTGTAATAAACAAGTGACACACAACTGCAAACTCCATCTGTTCTGTATAGTGGACAACAAAATTGTCCAACAGCAGTCACCGTCCGCACAAGCTTAAAGCAAGAATGTAGTTTTTACTCTTGATTGGAGGCCATCATCTCCATCTCATTTGATAATCACCTCTAATTGCTGCTTTTCAACTGCTCCTCGTCCCTTCAAACAACTCTTTATCATCTACACTATGCATTTTCAGACTATCCAGAGGCACGAAAAAGGGTTTTAAGGGTAGAAAGCAGAGAACATTCATAGAATACAACTTCAGAGGATCCATTAATTCAATTAATTCTATTGAATATATGGGGCAGGAGGTTGGGCTAGGAATGGAGAGGAATTGCATCATTTTTTTTTTTTTAATGTCCCTATTCTGTTGAGGATATGAGCATTGTGGGGACTGGATGTGTAAAGGGTTAAAACAATGGTAAAATTTGAAAATACTGCTTTCAGGGTGCTGGTGACACTAACCATAACTTACAGACCTGTAGGCATTTATGACCCCCCACCTCCTGGCCATTTTTAGTTTTACATCAGAAATAACCAACAAAACAAAACAAAACAAAGCAAAAAACTAACATTTCCAGATGGCTCATCCCAAGAGGTTGTTCGCAGGATATGGTTGACACTCGAATATTTTATTTGTATAACAGATAAATTACATTTTTGATCCTTATTCTTTTATTATGATTATACCTTTCAAATAAGCCATTTAAACATATTAACACATATAAATTATCTTTTTCCTCCTAAATACTAGAAAACATGGGTATTTACACTCTAAAAAACTTTACTCATGTTGTAGTTCTTGAAAAATAATCTAACTGAACATCAACCAAATAGCAAATATTAGTTGTACAAATATTTTTTAGGTGGCACTCATTTCATACTGGGTCATAAATTATAACATTTTATTAACATTGGTAAGACATAGGAAATAAAACAGCTTCTAAAAAGAAATTAATTCTAGATTTTGACACAGTAATAGTCACATCTTATTCTAAATCATTACTGGTCTCTCAAAACATTTTCTGTCACCAAACATACATTTACAAAAAAGTGCTAAAAGTCTTTGAGCATAAAGACTACATTGTGTAGTTCTTTATATCGCTGGTCCCAGTTTTCTCAATCAATACTGTTGATTTTGTATGGTAAGGAAATCTCCTGTCTTACTCATCTTTCTTTCTTACAGGTTCTACAACACTGTAATACTTACAGCATTTCTAAATAAATAATGAAGGGTTGAGTAAGATTTATATAATCTATACATAAAGTATATTAAAATGATGCAATACTTTGAAAACTTTATAACAGTAATCTTGGTATCTCCAAAGCAAAACCGAGAACATTTTATAATATATAATATAATGACACAATACAGACTTAGTTGAAGCAGGGGATCTGAAGGCCAATGACAAACACCCAAGGGAAGTCTTATTTGTACAAACCAGTAATGGCTAATTCAGAGAAATATCTTCTCCATCAGCTAACCATTCACAGTGAATTCTGTGCACTAGGTTCAATGTTAAGTGCTCTCATTGTGTTATTTAACTCTCCTGACATCCCTGTGAGGGAATGGTATATTCACCATTTTGCAAATATGCCAGCTCAGACTGGCGAGACGATGGTAATAGTAAGAGGCAAGAAGAATGTGATCCTAGGGCTCTTTATTCTGTGTTCAGTGTTGATATTGCTGTTATTTTTCTATTCCATGCATCTGTTCATATTTTCTATAGATTTAAATTATTTTAAGAGCCTAACTAGGATTCATTCTAAAAATAAGTAGTAAAGTGATAAAATATTGTACTATTATGGTCATCCTATATCAACGAGATAAGAGTCAAACATGTTTGATGTTCATTAGTCCTTAGTTGCTTCTCTGACATTATCAATATGGATAAAATCACTCACTGGGGAAATTAAACAGCATTAAATGGCAATTGCTGAAAGAAACTTCGTTATTTAAAATCCTATGCTAAAATGACAAGGCAATCAAAGTTTGACAGGGCAAACTAATTAGTATGCCAGATCTGAAATGTAAAACACCTCCATGGTTCTGATTCTAAAAAGTTTCATATCATTTTAATGGGCTCTTCAAATAATTTTTCAAGCAAAGTAAACAATGCTTAAAGTTAAGGGTTTTGTTTACCATAGGTTTACAAATCAAAATGATATGCAGCTTATTGAAAAGGAGCTATGTTCTGATGTCAGTTAGAAGTTCTTTTGTACATACTTTAAATCATAAATGAAATCAGAAAAATTTTTTTCTCATAAAAAGAATTTGCTTATATTCTACATGGTTTATAAAAAGATATTAGATAATTGTGCTGTAAGGTAGATTTATCTCATACTAAAGTCATTCCCTCAAATTGAAATAATAACAAAAACTATAAGAAAAAACAAAAGAGGATGTGCATATATTAGTAAATGAGTGGTTGCACTATATCTCAAATTCGAATTTGTAGTTGCTCATTATATTGTGCCACAAGTGGATTTTGCTACACCATTATCTTTCTTTAAAACAAAACAAAACAAAACAAAACAAAACAAAACAAAACAAAAGAAACCAAAACACTGCATTGTGAGAGATAAGTGAGGGACATAAGTGCCTTGGTGGAAAATGACAAATAATGCTCTCACTACAAGAGACAACCATCAGGTAACTAATTGTAAAACAAAACAAAACAAAACAAAACAAACAAACAAACAAACAAACAAAAAACCCACAAAACAAAAACGAAACAAACCCAGGTATTACTTTTAGAAAGATGATGTCACAGAAATAATTTTACAGATGAATAAAATTTCATGTGAAATTAGAAGAAAACTCCAAAAGATTAATCATCTCTCTTTTAAACAAAAAGGCAATTCACTTTTTTCATTAAAAACTGACACAACAGCACTAACTGAGATTGTTGTTGTGAAAACATACCGTATCACACGGCAATGCTTGATCAAAATCAGCAATCAGGAGTAAAAAGAAGGCAGTGTTTCGTGATCATAATAGCAAATTCTGGAAGACAACCAAATATATCATCTGGCAGTTCAACAGCTGTTACGGCTTGGTAGTAATACCTTGGCATTTGCTATAAGCTATAACTTAGAAAAATTGATTTTTCATCTGCCAGATAAAACCAAAATCTCTTTTTAACATTTTAATATTTAAATAAAGTATATATACTAGTCACTTTAATTTTGCACATTTGACAGCACAACTGTCAAGTTAATTTTTGTATTTACAGTTTGATTAACCTCTAAATATTTGGCAAAAAATGGACATGAGTAATAATGTACATGTAATTTTGTTGAACTTCATTGTGCTAACACATTGGATTAGTATCTGCTAACATCATTCTCAGATGCATTTATCCCTCTTAAGCAGTTAAAACACTGATTTTCTAAAAGAACAAGTTTGGGGACATCATTAGAATTTTATAATAGAGAGTACTGGCAAGAATAGTAATGCACAGAGTAAAATTACACACATGAATGATCTAAGTATATATAATTATAACTAAAATTTCAATAACCATAAAAGTAAACTTATTGAAAATGAAAGAAATTTTTTTATTCAGGCCACATAAATCACTGAACTGTTTGAACAATATACACAGTAGCTAGAGAAAAAATAAATTTCAACTTTAAGTATAACCGGTTCCCTTACGCGACATTGTGTTTTATTTTAAGACCAAGTCAAGTCTCAGAATTGGAATGATGTTTCCCATTAAACAAATTCTTTATAAAAACCTTCAATTCTGGCATTCGACTTTGATTTTGAAATGTCATAAAACATTTAGAATTCAACATTCATGCAATCCAGTTTTAGAAAATGAAATGGCATGCATATATCAAACTTTAAAGTTACCAAATACAGGTACCTTTATGCCTATTGCTGTTTTCTTTGCTTCTGCTTTTAATTTGGTTGCTCGTAAAATAGGTTTGGTTTTTTTATAATCTTGTTTACCTAAAAAGAAATAATTTCAGGCAATGAGTTATGCTTATATATAATTCAAGTTTAACAGCCATCTGAAATGTCCAAGAATGTTTAAATACAGTAAACCTGGGACACGGAGTTGAAAAGTAGCTCCCAGTTATGGAAGCCATAAACTTGTCACCCTAAGGTCAACCTCTCCTCCTCTCTTGATTTTAAAGGAAGAAGAGTCAACAGACATCTTTGATTTGGTGTGCAGTGAAGAGCTAAAAAGATAAAAACTTATTTGAGAGAGTAAGATGTTTAAAGTAAAGACAGTAAGCCTTTTGGAAGCATTTAAGAACAAATGGGCAAATGAGTATACATAAGGTCCCATTAATACGTAAAGCTAACTTTATTTTCCTAAATGAAGAATAAGAGCTCATTACAAATTATTTTATTAATGATATATTAAGTTTCCAAATAATCAATTTGAGGAATATCCTCAAGTTTTCTGTGAATAAGAAACTAAGAATCTGTAAGTACTTAACTTTTAGTCACTGAGTTCATTAGAAAAATGCATATTTAACTTTCGTTTGTTCTTAATAGAGGACAAAATAAATACTGCTAGATAAATATGTAGGTTAGCTACATTCAGATAATAGTTTCAATCTCCTTTACCACACTTCATTACCAAAGATGAATAAAAATTAAGTTAGTATCACCAAACTTCCTTTTTTGTATATCATTTGATGTCACCACTAATGAATAACAAAACTGAGTTTGTGTGTAACCTGTATGTAACTAATGAGTTACATAACCTGGGAAGAAAATAGATTTAACAACAACAACAAACAACAATAACAAAAGCATTCATTAGAATAATACACTATTTTGTTAACCAAACTTTTAATTAAGAACTGGGTCAATGGGTCTCAAATACAATCTGTCACTCTATGGGAGTTAGCATATGACCATATAATCTCTCTTTTACATTCTCCTTAGTTTGCCTTGTTTCCATCTTACTCCTTTTCCTTCATGACTGGTTTCTTTCCAAATCTTTCCCCTGTATCTCCTTTATGTAAGTAATACAACTTCTAACTTTAGTTTCCACATCTTCCCCACACTGAAATAAATCTGAAAGCAGTTCATCTACACAATAGTATATTATAAAAAATTATGTGCAAATATTAATGTATTTGCTAATGATCCAAAAGTGCCCTTAAAATTCCATATAGATTTTTAGAATTAGAAATGGCAGGAAGAAGTGAGTCATATGGATGGGAGTAATGAAAAAAACGCTCTATTTGTGTTCATTAGATACATAAAAGTGTTTCTTTAACTGAAGAGCTATGTGTTTCTTTTTTTTTTAAAAAGAGTCAGTGTATGTTATTTTCTTAACTGCTATCATATAGCAGTCATTCTGGATCTATGAACATGCAGAAGCTTAATAAATATTATTTGATGATAAGGTTTAATGATCCAGAAATGAGCCAATTGTAAAAATGTACATCAAATGATCTAAATTTAAATTATAGAATGAATAAAATACAGAAAAATATTACTCTGACCCATTTAAAATTAGCAACATTTAATTTTGTTGAAAAAGCGTTGACAAGTGTTCACTCTGATTTCACATCTGAACAGTCAAACTATTCATGTCATTACTCCTGCTGAGATATAAACAGTTCAGAACAATGAAAATGGTGACACATCAAATGCTTCCACTCAGGGTTACAAAACAAATTTATAAGAAGAATCAAAAGAGAAATTGGAAGATGATAGATTTGAAGCCAAAAAGTCATTTATTGTTTTATATATGGTCTATAATAATCTTCGGGTGCAAGGGGGAAAAATTAAAAAAGGATTGTCTTCACCCAAATGTTTTTCATACACATATGTTTTACTCTGGATGATGTGTCTGTCATAAAACAGATTCAAATACATACCTAAGAGTCAACGTTAGAGTGGGGATTCATCGCCCTACTTCACTTGTTGTATAACTTCTTGGTTAAATGTGTTCCATTTCAATTCAACTCCTGTAATCTCTTAGAGAATAATACCTCTAGATTTATATTAAATTTGATAGGAACATTTGAAAATGTATTTATAATAAATAGATGGTTTTAAAAATTATTTACACCTGGTACTTCTCCAAATAGTGCATCTGTCATTAATTTAGCATTCTGCTTGCTGACTATGATGTCCAAAAGTATAGACTGAAGAATGAAGTTTCAGTCTACGAAGTGAAAACGTTTACAGGGGACTTCGTCAAGTTCTTTATAACCAAAACTAGATATTTCTATTATACCCAAAGAGGTTTTCAACATTTAAATTTTTTATGGCTTCAAGAAAGATACCTATGACCACAGGATTATAAAAAAATGTAAAATACAGAAGCCCCTGCCTCCTGAGTATTTAACTTAGAAAAAATACACACACACACCTGCACATACGTATATAATTTACATATAATAATATAGATTTTATATGTATATGGCTTCTTGGACACAGGTCTGATTTTGGTTATATCAATAATGCAGTAACCAAAATAGCTGTTTGGCAATTGCTCATTACATTTTATTTATTTATTTTTTAATGTTTATTTCCTTTTGAGAGAGAGAGAGAGAGTGGGAGTGGGGGAAGGGCTGAGAGAGAGAGGGGGACAGAGGATCCGAAGCTGGCTCTGTGCTGACAGCAGCAAGCTCAATACAGGGCTTGAACTCACGAACCAGGATATCATGATCTGAGCAGAGGCTGAACACTAAACCGACCAAGCCACCAAGGCACTTCTGCTCATTACATTTTATATGAAAGGAAACCTGGATAATTTAAGACTATGAAGCTCATCTGGGACCTCAATTATCTAATTTCTCTGTTCAATGGCACCATTCATCACATTTCTGTATTTTCATTTCCTATGGCATAGTTAGGTTAACAAAAGCTTTTTCTCTCTATCCCCAAGCTTCCTGATTGAGTGATTTATGCTTCCTCTCTCCGATATAATCCTATAATACTATTTATTATATTTTATTTTTAAATTAACATACAGCGAAATTGGCTTTTTTCCTTTTGGTATACAGTTCTATGAATTTTAATGCTTCTGTACAGATTCATGTAATTACTACCATAATCGGGGTACAGAATAGAGTTCTCCCATTCCAAAAAACTCCCTGTGCTGTCCTTGTATATCCATCCCTCCTCCTACCCATAGTTCCTGGCAACCCTTGTTCTACTGTCCATTTCTGTAGCTCTGTCTTTTCAATAATATGGCAATGGCTTCTTTTATTCAGCGTAAGTCCTTTAAGTTTCACCTAAGTTGTATGTATCACCAATTCATTCTTCTCTATTGCTGACTAGCATTCCATTATGTGGAGGTACCAGAGTTTGTTTATCCATTCACTCACTAAAGTGCATTTGGGTTATGTCTAGTATTTAGCAAATACTACAAGAGATACCTATAAACACAGGTGTACGGGTTTTTATATGAACACAAGTTTTCTTTCAATTCATCTAGAGTAGGACTGCTGAGTCATATGGCAAGTCTATATTTTAACTTTGTAAGAAACTGCCACGCCATTTTCCAGAGTGGCTATATTGTTTCACATTCCCACTAGCAATGATCAGAGTTCTGGTAGATTTGCATCAGAAGTAGTATTAGTATTGTTTCACCAGGTTATATATTTTTAGCATACAACTGTTTATAGTATTCCTTTATAATCCATTTTATATCCATAAGGTTGATAGTAACATACTAATATCATTAATGATATTAGTAATTTGAGTGTTCTTTTTTTTTGTAGATAGTGTAACTAAAACTAAAGGTTTTTCAATTGTGTTGATCTTTCTAAATAATAAACTTTTGATTTTCCTGATTTTTTTCTATTGTTTTTCTCTTCTGTATGTTATTTCCATTTTAATCCTTATTATTTCCTTCCTTCAGGTTGCTTTGGGATTATTTTGCTCTTCATATTCTAACTTGTTTAAGCAGAAAGTTAGGTTACTGTTTTCTTCTTTATAAACATACTGGTTAACAGGTATAAATTACCATCTCAGTACTGCTTTAGCAGCATCTCATAAATTAGCAAGGAGAAGAAAAAAAGTTACATAGTCATCTAGTATACGTAGTCATACAAAACTATACAAAACTATACAAAAACTATACGTAGTCATCTAGTATATTTATCTATGCTGTTACCTTTACTGGTGTTAGTTTTGGTTTTGTTGTTTGTTTATGGATGTGGATTCAAATTTACTGTCTTGTATACTTTCTTCCAGCCTACAGGACTCCCTGTAGTGTTTCCTTGCAGGGCAGGTGTGCTATTAACAAATCATCTGGTTTTATTTATCCAAAAACATCTTAATTTCTCCTGTTTTTGAAGGATAGCTGTGCTAGATATAGAATTCTTGTTTGGCAGTCTATTGCTTTCAGTACATCATATGTCATGTGTTTGTTACTTTTCTCTGCTGTTTTCAAGATTCACTCTTTATGTTTGACTTTCAACAGTTTGACTATAATATGGCCCAGTGTGGATCCCTTTAGTTTATCCTACCTGAAATTTATTAAAGTTCTTGGATTAAAAAAAATTAAAGTTTTTCATCAAATTAGGGAAGTTTTGGGGTATTATTTTTTTCAATATCCTTTCTGACCATTTTTCTCCCTCCTTTCATTGTAGAATTATTATTATACATAGATTGGTATTATGGATTATACATAGATTGGTATTATGGATTATGGTATTATGGTATTATACTATGGTATACATAGATTGGTATGTGTCCCACAGGTCTCTGTGTCTCTGTTCATTTTTTGTCATTCTTCATTCACTCTTTTCACGTTTCTCAGAAAGGATAATCTCAATTAGCTTCTCTTCATGTTCCCTGATTTCTTCTGCTAGTTCACATCTGCTGTGAAGTCCCTTGGCAAAATTTTCATAATTATTGTATTTTTCAAGTCAAGAAAATCTATTTGTTTTTTTTTAAGTATACATAACTTACATTTCTATAATAAGATGCTTTATTTGGTGAGGCATCATTCTCATATTTCAATTCTT